CCTGAATAGGAAAAACCTCAGAATATTTACACTGCATTTTTTCCTTTAGATGACAGATTTGGAACTAGCTGTAATTATTTATGAGTTTATGAACGAACTGTGACCTCATTTTTGAGAAGTGTACTACATGCACCGAAGACCCAAGGGTTATTGATGTGACAGAAACTAGGGAAGTGCCTGAGAATAGTCTCATAGGAATTAGGGCTTCTCCCACCAAAAAGGTGGCAGGATCAGTAGCCCAAACGAAGGGCACCTACACCAGTGCACACAGCAGGGGCAACAAACAGGAGGAGCTGGAAGCCATTGTCCATCTGGAAAACTATGATATGGTTGCCACCATGGCAACGCGGTGGGATGACTCACACGCATGGAGTGCTGCAGTTGATGGCTATAAACTCTTCCGAAGGGACAGACAAGGAAGGAGAGGCAATGGGGTAGCCCTGTATGTCAAGGAGAGTTTCGACTGTCTAGATATTAATGACAGAGATGACAAGGTTGCGTGTGTGGAGGTGAGAATCAAGGGGAAGGCCAACAGGGAAGATATTAAAGACCACCTGTCCAGGGTGAAGAGGCTGGGAAAGCTGCTTATAGAGAAGCAGCTTTCTACAATACCGTAGAGAGGAAACAGTCAAGGAGGTTCCTGAAGAGTGTGGAAGATAACTTTCTGACACCACTGGCAAGTGAGCCAACAAGGGAAGGCGCCCCCCTGGACCTGATGTTTGCAAACAGAGAAGGACAGGTGGGGGATGTGACAGTTGGAGGTCATCTTGGGCACAGTGATCATGAAATGATAGTTTTCAGTTCTCAGAGAAGTAAGGAGCAGGGTCAGCAGAAGTGCTACCTCGGACTTCCAGAGGGCAGACTCTGGCCTGTTTAGGAGCCTGGTTGACAGAGTCCCTTGGGAGGCAGTCCTGAAGGGCAAAGGAGTCCAGGAAGGTCAAACATTCTTCAAGAAGGAAGTCTTAAAGGCACAGGAGCAGGCTGTCCCCATGTGCCGGATGACAAGTTGGTGGGGAAGACCGTCCCGGCTGAACAGAGAGCTTCAGCTAGAACTCAGAGAAGAGAGTTTACAAGCTCTGGAAGAAGGGGCAGGCAACTCAGGAGGACTACAAGGATGTTGTGAGGTCTTGCAGGGAGAAAACTAGAAGGGCCAAAGCCCACCTAGAATTTAACCTGGCCTCTGGCATAAAAGGTAATAAAAAAATGCTTCTATAAATACATTAACAACACAAGGAAGGCTAAGAAGAACCTTCACCCTTTACTGGATGCAGGCAGAAACCCAGGGACAAAGGATGCCGCTAGACAAATTCACAGATGACCAGATGTACCGCTGGTGACAATCTGCTTTAAGCACGAGGTTAGGCTAAATCACATCAACAGGCCTCTTCCAACCAACATGTCTGTCTTCCTCTGAGCGTGCGTCCCAATACTAACTACTCTGCCAACACCTGACAGTCTGATAGCAGCTCCAGGAAAAGCATTGAGAGAGATGGAAGAGATGGAGACTTAACACAAAGCAGCTGACATCTGGGGATTAGGTGTTTGGTATACGGTAAGCCTACGACTGACAGTCATTTGTGCACCTCTCTCATTTTTCTCCATTCAGGCACATTGTTACAACCTGCTTTTTATGATTTAAAAAAAAAAAAAAATTATTCAAAGAATACTTTTAAGGTCACTATATTCACAGATAGGTCCCCAGGAATAAGAGCTCAGTCTGAGCCAGTTTAAAGTCCAGTAATACTCAGAGAAAATAAACACAGCTGTACACAGGCTTCATTGCTTAATGTAAGAGTGATACAGCGAGGCAATTCCAAACACCAAGATAGAGACATCACACATTCAGAGAGAAGGAGGAATCACTCTTGGAGGGAGGAGGTGCAGCTGGCTCTGCATTTGCATCACATGTGCCTAGGCTTAACTTTTTTTTGTCTTACACTGGGTCACCCTACTTTATCAAACATTTCTAGAAATCCCTCGAAATACCTTCATTACCCTCTTCCATGGAGGGATTTGAGATGGAGAACAGACAGAAAAATGTGGAACTAGGGGAAAGTAAGACACCGAATGGTTTGTGAATGAATGGAGATGGTTGACATGTCATCTGTTGCCACAAACCCAAGAAGTTTAAGTGTGCCCTGTCCAAACAGCTTTTCTAATTGTCCTTAAAAGAGGAAGAAGTAAGTTCTGTAGAGTCCTGTAGACAGCTGCTCAGCACCATGCAGTTTGTTTTCAAATCCTGTGTTGTTTAAATTTCCTGTTTGTTACAAGAAGTAAAAATGGTAGAATCACCATGACACACTTTCAAACCAAGATGGGTTTTTTCCAAGTGTCGTGCTCTAAAGTTCAGCCTGAAAGTTACAGACTTCAAATGGAATGTACTAGAGGTTTACACAGTTCTCAAGGTAAGAATCAAACTGCAAAATAAATTAAGATCAAATTACTTAATTTTAAGATTTAAAGGAAAAAAAACTCTCCTGTATTCTTCTAGGAAACAGAAGACAAGAACATCCTTTCCTGTACATGCAGGCTTATATAGACTTTGGTAATAAACCTGGGCCAAAAAAGGGACAAAAATGAAATTAAGATATGAATACTCTGACTTCGAGACATATTCTCAATATGTAAGCCCATTTTACATGTGTGCATCTGTCCACATCCTAAAAGCCAGAGAGAAATAAGGAGTTTAGGTAGAAGAGAAGACTTGTGGCCCTGCACTGAAACAAGAAACTAATCCAATTGTCCAGGCAGATGTGTCAGGGCCAATCCCAGTATCATTCTTCAGTCAGAAAAAGCAAGCTTACTCACTCTTTTCTATGCTGAGACAATCCCTTCCCCAAAATCTCAACTTACTTACAAAGCATACGACAGTCCTCAAGAAGAAGTGCTAGCTAAGTATAAGTAATAGTTCACTACATACGCCATTACACTGTTTTAAGACTTAGGTATCACACATACAGCCTAGTATTATTCTTTTTTTGGCTGTGATATCTGTTTTCTGAAAACACTTAACAACTCACTATATATGACAATGAAGTGATAACATTTTAACACTCATAATGATAGCCAAGTTAGACAAAGATGCAAATTTAAAAAGTGGCACGAAAGAACAAATCAGGGGAGGAAAAAGGTAAAAACGTTGGTAGCAGGATACCTTCTTTTGTCTGTTTTCAGCAGCAGCCAATTGAGCAGACATTCTTTCTTGCATTTTCCTGCAGTGAGCCATAACAGCTTCTAAAATGGACAGCGGGTTCATGCATATTGGCTTCTTTTCTTTATCACCAGCACCTGCCTCAAAGTCTCTCTGAAGAGCCAGAAATGGGTCACTCAGATTAAATCTTCCATATCGCTCCTGGATAAAAACCTCTTTGCGCCGGGCCTAAAAAAAAAACCCAAACAGACATAGAAATCAAGCTAAATGCATTCTTTGGAGTACATTCACACATAGAAGAGACCTTAACCACAGGGAAACTTCTGTTACTTATTTATGTTTTTTAAGTATTTTCTTTAGGCATTCATTTACAGTCTCTAAAAGAAATAGACAGGTATGTTGCACACATATTTAATTTTAGTCAATACAATTCATTACATTACAAAACCTTTCCCTTTCTCAATTCAATGCAGAAATATCAGCTTGGAGCAGTTTCAGAAGTATCACAAAAATAACATCTTATAGATTGGCTGATACACAGAGAGAAAAAGGAAGAAAAACATTCCAAAATAGGGTTTCTATTTCTCTATTAAACTGATGCTAGTACACTATAGAAAAACATACTTTGTGTGTTTGCTGCAGTACCAAATGAAGTATTTTTCAAATAAAAAACCTGACGGTACGTTTACACATGCAAAGGTTTTCAGCTCTGTATGTGCAGCAGACAAGTAGAGGGCAACAATACCACCGAGGCTTTTCTGACATTAAGACACTTCTCATATCTCTGTTCAGGAAGAACTTCATAGAATGGTTAGGGTTGGAAGGAATCTTAAAGATCATCTAGTTCTACCCCCTGCCATGGGCAGGGACACCTTGCACTAGACCAGGTTGCTCAAAGCCTTGTCCAGCCTGGCCTTGAACACTTCCAGGGATGGGGCAGGTATCATGATCACATGTTTTTCCGTACCATTATTTTAAAACATAATTATATTTCCAAACTACAATACAACTCTTTATTGGCATAACAAAAAATATTACACAATAAAGATCCAAGATAGTTTTGCGTGCCAAGTTTTTTGTTCTTCAGCCCAACATGAAAATAAGAAATTTTACACGTTACATTAATAAACAGAACACAGAAAGGCCACAGATAAGTACTGACCTCCAACAGTCTTCACAGACATTATTGTTCCAATCTCAGGCTTAAGACCCGTCAAATTTGTGAGGGCAAAAGAAAACACAAACCAACCAACCAAACAAAAACCCACCAGAAAGATCCAATGATTTCTAAAATTTTGTTGTGTTTTTTTTGTCCTTGCATATATAACAGAAAGCAGAAGGAAGAGAGCCAAACCATTATAGCGTAATTTTGAAAGAAATGAAGCCTTGTTACCTTAAAAATTAATAGTCACCAGAGCAGCTCTTTAGAGAAATATGCCTCAAAAAACCAGAAAAAAACCCCACAGTGCACAAAAACACCATCAGAAAGAGGAATCCCTCCAGCAATGGAAAACACGTTTATGTGTGATCTGGCTCAAATTCAGTTTTCAAGAATAAGAAAAAGAAAGAGGAAGAAAAAGCCAATTCTGTGATACGAAAGAGGAGGAACAGGCTTAATGGTTACCAAATGCGTTGGTAGATCATTTGGAAAGCTTGAAGTTAAAACTGTAACACATGAAAAGGTCGTAAAAGGTAACACACATTTCAGGACATGAAAAACCAAAGAAGAACCTAAGAACTACATTAGAAAAACACTCCAGAGACTAATTACAGATAACATACCTTAGCAAATACCCAACTTTTTTCTATGTAGTCTACAAACTTGAAATGTTGTGGGAGATTAAAAGGTAAAAGAGAATTTGACTGCAACAGAAGTAAGTGTGCCTCCATATTCTGATGCTTCTAATACTTCTAGTCTGTTTTCCAATTTGATAGTATAAATAGAACTTGAAAATATTTATTTAAAAAACAGGCCTTTGGGGCATAACTCCAGAAAAAGCTTACAGAGTTCATTCAGCCCTGAAGTCTAGTTTAGGCTTACGAAGCCAGGTAGCGATTGGTTTAAGGGACAAAATAAGCAGAACCTCGTCAGATTTTATAAACTGCCCTGCAAATAACCCCTGATTGGTCTAATTATTTTAATCCCTTATTTTTTAACTTAGATTTTAACATAAAATAAAATAGTGCCAAAGGTAATACTACAAAGCCAGGTGGGGAGGGACCATATTTATAGCTCCTGGTTCTATCTACTGAAGTTACAGGACAGCATGCAGCTTAGGAATTCAATCCCCAGGTCAAGAAAATAAGCAAAACCAAACACCTGGCCCTAAATGGATTAAAGTGCTGAACACCCCAACAAGATGACAAACCCAAGCAGGTTAAGAATTTCAATGGAGATGGATTCATGTATAAATTATCAGCAGTGTAATAGTCACTTAGCTTATATCAAGCTTATTCAAGGCCAGGCTGGATGTTCAAGGCCAGGCTGGACGGGGCTTTGAGCAACCTGGTCTAGTGGAAGGTGTCCCTGCCCATGGCAGGGGGTTGGAACTAGATTGGTCTTCCAACCCAAACCATTCTATGATTCTATGATCAATAAAGTGAGCCATCAAAGTAAAAGGAAAAAAAACCCAAAACAACACCCCAGAGGTAGCAGCTCAGCTGTAAATAAGAAAAAAAAAAAAAAAGACCACCAGAGCCTCCATATGGACTAAAAATATAAAATAAAATGACGGGATGAGGATGCGTGATTTGAAGTGAAAATACCAGTAGGAAAGATAAAGCAGAAGCTTGGTAGAACGGAAACAATGGGTAGTTCCCTAAAACTTAAGCACAAGGTGGCAGGCTGACAAGCTATGCTTGGGTTTTCTTACATGATTCCTCCAGCCCCTAAAGAATACTTCTGTCCCTTTGCAAGTCACAAGTACATCAGATGGAAAAAACAGAAATACTAGCATCAGAAAATTTTCTCTCTTACATCATCTTTCAGCACTGAATTTCAAGTCATAAGAGCTAATAGCAACATCAAGATATCGGTTTTTTATAACGCTTGTTATCTGGGGAACTTACAGTCTTAATGCTATACAGGTAATTAATCCTTTAAAATAGTCTCTGCATAATTTGGTGGCTGTGCTAAGACAGCATTGTCAGTGTCTCATATATTAATTTCAATTGCACAGCAATATATACAGAAAATATAATTTTAAATGCTGATTTGTGGATAATTAACTGAATGCATTTCAAAACAAAGTTTTCAAAGGCAGACAGAATATGCACCCACTGCAGGAAGCAGTCAGGACTGCGGCACTGTGAATGGTGCTACATGAATTTATAAACCATCGGCTTTATTCTTCTGTACATACCCATTTGCACAGAGACTAGTCTTTTAATGGAAAGACTGAGATTGAAAGTATTGAAAAGTGTAAACACATGGCCATGGGAAACAATACTTTTTGCAGCCTATGCCTGTGGTACACAGAATTATGACTTAAACTAAATCCTCCAACAGGTCACTGTGAATGAAAACTGACAGTAAGCACACAAAAACCACGAGACAATAACTAAAAAAAAAAAAAGAAAAAAAAGAAAAAACCCTTAAATAGTTAATACATGAGATTCACTACTGCTGAATTTAAGTAAAAGCTCAAGCTTATTTACAACAGCTTTTGAATTCAGTCCAATAATATCACATTTATACAGAGCTTTTAAATCTTTGCACAGAATTGGAAACACTAAACAAGGAGGATAAAATAAGAGTGCAACTGCTACTTAAAGAGAGCAAAAACCCGGCCTCTTTATGGACAGGCTGGTCTGTAGCCCTGTTAGATTAAGGATGGACTGCGAGTTCACACTGAAAAAATACAGTAGAACTGAAAAACACCTTCAGAGAGGAGTGAAAGATGATCAAAAAGTACTACATGGCTTCTCTTCAAGGAAGAGCTAAGTACAAATAGGATTTTTCTGTGTGAAACACAGACAACGAGGGAGAAACATGCACACCGACAAGACAAGTAGCAATCGTCCCGTGATCTAATGGGGAAATTTGAGCTGGACGCAAATCCTTCTCACTGAGAGCAGATAAGCACAGGAGCATGTTCCCCAGGGAAAACATATAACCTCTGTCACTGGGAGATTTCCAAAACTAAATTGGATAAGGCCATCAGCAACCCGACCTATGCTTGATGTTAGACCTGCTTTAAGCAGAAGACTGGACCGAGCAATATGTCAAGGTGCTTTCTGACCTAAATTACTCTGTGACTAGTGATTTCTTCTAGGACTGTTATTGTTTATCTTGTACATGCTAGCAATCTTCTCAAGTAACAAATGACAGAAATGAGGTTTCGGAGGAAGGGAAAAACACCCCAAATACTTATTGGTGGAGCAGGACTTATGTCTTGCTTTGGATCATGAAAATATTTTTTATGACTCAGAACTCTTAGTCTGTGGAATTTTCAAAAATTAAAAAAAAAAAAAAAATCAGCCCTGAGCAATCCCAGGGTTTATGCAGCTGTGCGGCACCAGGGAGAGGCTTCTTCTCAAGTTCTCTCTTCTAGGTCTGCAGCCAACACGAATCTGGAGGATCAGGCCGTAAGTTAAACTGCTTCTTTTATTACTCTCTCAGGCAGCCTGTCGCCTACCACATAGAGCAAGACACCTCATTCAGCCCTACACCAACTTTTTTTTCACGCTATTCAAGTCACCTCTCGGCATCTGTCTGCCAGCTCCCTCCTGGACACTTCCATCTCTCAAACCAACCCTTTGCAGTCACTGACCCCGTTGATCTGCTGGCAGAGGAAGACTGGCAGCGGGATGTGCAGGGAGACGAACAAAAGGAGTGGAGGTATGCAGTCTAATTAGATTTCCCCTCATTTTTTAAGTAAGAACATAAGGGGGCAGGGAGACATTCAAATAGCATCCATCTTACTATGGACTGAAAGCTAAAAGCATTAAAAAAGCAAGGAAAAACAAAACCCGACCACTTACTATGTAAGTACAAAATAAGCCCAGTAACAATAATTGGAAAATTCATCACATAATGTAAGTTATATTGTTAGCTTTCTTTCGGCAATAATCCACGTTGATATTAGCTGCACACACTTGCTGAAATGAGTTTTCATTATCAGCTTACATAATCAGGACCCAAACATATAAGAACAGTATTTTTAAGGTTAATACTGCACTTTTCTCCCAGTGTATCTCAGAGTTTCCTCTTCATTTACCTGCCAAGT